TTACAGGTTATTGCTTGACTCATGACCATTGGCTAGCAATTGGATGAAAATTGCCAGGAACACAAATATGCTACACGTCAGATTAAATTTTGCCTTCATCGTAGCGGTTCGTGAAGCACGGAAAACGCCACCGGCAATTGCACTTCACGCCGCGATCTCATCCCAGAGTTTTACCTCAGGAGTAAACAGCACTAAGAGGTACGTCTGTTCCCCATCTGTCCCACTGCCTCCCAGTGTACACGGAAAACGTAAAGGGCTAGAGAACGAGAAAACACCAGGCTTTTGGTTTAGGGACATGTTCATATGCATTCTGGCCAGGCTGTAATCAGCTGTGAAACTATCCAGATGGCATCAGAGCTAAATGACAGAACATGCCATCGAAGCAAAATCGCCCGTACACGACTAACTCCACATTTCCATATATCCTGTGCTGATATACTCTTCGTCTTAGCTGCCCCTGACTGTACAAACTCTGTAAATCCGAGGGTCAAGAAGGGGCAGAATGCAGCGTTGCCGCCACATACTATATATCAGTGCTGCCGCCAATATATCAGTGTTGCCGCCACATACTCTGACGGGGAATCTGCTACTGTGAAGTGACTGGATTGCTCATAGCAACTGACCATATATACGCCTGTAGACACACGTACATCATTTTGAACGGAATCCGATCATAGGTTCTCTCAATGTGGTAAAGCACATTGACCGGCTGTCTTGGTTACGCCATTCGGAATTAAAAATTTATTTTCCCAACATTTTGAATTCATAATTAACATGTTCTCCCTTTGGACAGGAAATAATTACGAATATTTTGATGAATACTGATATGCACACGGCTGTCTGAATGATTCATGGTTTGGAGTACTAAATGCAGCAGATGGTAGAATCGTTTAACACCAACGTGTAACTGCACAGAGCACAGCATCAGGGATAGACTTAGCAAAATTGATTGCTTGAAGGTATTTATGAGCAGCAAGAAAACAGTGCCAAATTTTCAATTGATTTATCACATGCAGTTGAGACTTTTTACATTGACAGAGAAAGTATTGTTATATCAAAATAAATCAGAACTTTGTCATTCTGACTCGATTTTGTGGTATCAATTCTAATGGTGCCGTGTTGACTCCAGAATATGTAAATAAGACATTTTTGCTTGCATGACCTTCTCTCTGCCCCCATGGAGCATTTGCATACAACAGTGGCTACATTTGCCTAATATTTTGCTGTTCTGGTCAATGCTGTTCGACAATCGAGAGGAATATTCATCCACTTGATGAATTTGCTCCAGACAGGTGATGTACGAGATGGTTTTCTTTTGAGCGTAGCAAACCTTCACAGCTGCTGAAACTGGATTGTCGACAGCGAACCATAATATAAGCCGTTGCAGATATGGTTCCAGCATTTTGCATATGAGGCCCACTAGATGACTGATGTTGTAAGAGTGACACCGTCGACGTATTTGGTCTAAAAGTGGTAACGGTTATGTGCTTTTAAGTGTTTTCATTAATTCCTTGAATACTCAGATCATCACCTTGAAGAGTTTGTTGGTGTAATGACCTGAGGTCAAATGCCGCCGAACGCGTCCACAAGTAGTGGATAGTGGGGCAACTCTCAGATATGAAGGTTAGCTGCAAAATAAGCTGAAGGCTCAAGAACTGCCGCCGACAAAATAGCGGCAGTGATACAAGGATGCGGTGAGCCAACCTTTGGCAACGTTGGCTGTAGAAAATACCGATTTACCCGATGACAGCGCGGTAACATGACGAGCACATGCCGCCATTAAATAAACATACTGCTAACCGTGACGAGCTGTAGCCAGCAGGTTCTCAGCCCGGTTCAGAAAGACAGGTTGGTCTCAGGCAGGCAACTGGCAATAAAAACCAATGCCAAAGCCAAATACAATACCTGTAAAAATAATTCTAGGCGACGCCTGGCACGAAATCCTGGCGACTGTGAGAAATAAGCAAGGGAACCAGTTTTTGCGATGATGGTAATCGCAAAGGGAGAGGTTGTTATTCAAAAATGACGAAATGGAAAGGTGAGAAGCACGTAAACTACGCTAGGCTATAAACTTATTTTCTGTGGAACATCAAGCAGAAGAAATGGAACTGGAGTGGTATTCAATGATGGAAACGGGATGTTCTAAGTCAACCTAATTGATAAAGGAGTCATGGACGCTAGGCTAACTTTAGAAAGCGGTATCCTAAATATAAAAGTGCCTACACTCTTATGACACACAGAATCAAGCAGAATGATCGACGTTCTATGAAAGCTTAGACTTTGCACTGCAAAACATAACGCGAAACAAAAAGTGGTTCACGGGGGTGACCTTAACGAGCACGTCGGCAAACATCGAAGGGGTTACGAAGGATCCATGGAAGACATGGACACAATGGGTTAAATCAATAAGGAGAGAACATCTTGCAAAC